TTTATCTTCAAAACTATCAAACATTTTAAAAGAAAGAAAGGACAAAAAACTGTGCTTTGCTTTGCCCTAAGTTGTGAACTTTTCTCTCATACTGATATGTTAGAACCCCCAAAAGAGATGAATAATTGAGATTTACAATCAACAGAGGTGTGCAAAATTCAAACAGGGCTTTTAATGGATTTCTTTTTAACATTGGTTAGGGTCAGTTGGGTTAATAAAATATAATTTATATCACTGAAATATACACAAGCACATTATAAACACAAATGGTTGCGCTGAGTTTTTTCTTAGGGACTCCAGGAGAATCGTGGAAGATTTAAAAATGTGGAAAGGTTCTAGCTCTTTGTAGGAAACTGTGCTGGGATGTAAGGCGCAAGCATCAGTCACTGCGATTACATTTTATCTAACCAAGCAATTCATGATCAAGAACATTTCTTCATGTTTTTTTTTGCATTTTTGAAATTAAATACAATAAATACAGATAAATACAGTTAAAAATATTAGATTAAGGATTATTAAACCAGTTCCTACTTTTCTGACTTTTGGTTTGCCACGAAGCTTTGTGTCGCATCTGTCTTCTAGTCAGTGATGATGACCTTAGTGGCTGCAGTCAGAACAAGTTGAGTGTAAAAAAAAAGGGAAGAGTTACTGACCCACATGAGTCATCTTGATTGTTGTCACTTGTGAATTTTGGACTGATTTGACTAGTTTAGGAGCTTGTTTGTTTAAACTCTAAACTGGGCATTTTTTAAATTCTATTTATTATTTACTATGTGAATAAGGTGAGAATTGCTTAAATGACCCTTTAAGTTTAACTTTAGGATCAGGTTTTAAGACGGTTGAACAGGTTTTTTGTGTTAAAACAGCTCTTTTTCACCCATTCCTCTCACATCACACAAAGCCAGTTATGTCCAAAGCTGTTATTGTTGACCCTAACCCTTTGTCCCCATTATTTTTTAAAAAGCCGTTGCTCCATATGTGGTGAAATCAGAAGCCTTGCTCTTCATTAAACTTTTTTCAAATGCCGTGATTTGTATTCTCGACCCCATCAACTTTTTGACACAGTAGTAGTTTGACACCTTTTACTACAATTACAATCACAAGTATTTGACGTTATTTATATTTAGCTTTCCTAAATACAACCCAATGTTGCCAGCTGTATGGTGGTGGCAGCATCATGCTATGTGGACGTCTATCTCAGAAGAGACAGGGAAGCTGGACATAGCTGATGGAGAAAATGGATGGAACAAAATACAGGGTGATACTGGATCAAACTTGTTAGAAACTTGGCCCCATTTCACCTTCCTGCAAGAACAACAACCGTAAATAAACAACCCGAGTTCCGATGGGAGAATTCAGATCAAACCTTCTGGAACAGTAAAAGTTTGGGCCTAAATAGAGTTTTTGGAAACTGATGTACATAGATGCCCATCAAGACGGATTGAAATAATGTGACAGAAGGTAAAAAAATAAGAAAAAGAAATTACAGTTAATGGGATCAAATATTTAAAGGGTATGATTATGTTTACAAGGTATTATAGCTGCATGTTTTACTGTACATAAAACTTAATACAGACATAACCTAATAATGATATAAATTATTTTATTAGACTTTTTCTGATCAGGAAAAAATACCAGGAAGAGGCATGTAAAATTGACACTTTGTTCTAAACACTAACTTTAGTTAAACAGATTAGTTAAACAGCTAATGTGTATACTCTGATACTTTCAATATCTTAATAACATTGGAACAAACTAATTTCTATAGAAAACAAAATAAAAATGAAAAAACAAAAGGAAGTTGACTAATTTCATTTTTGAATGTTTGGAGCCGGTGCACTGCCTCACTGTCTGTCCCCAGCATGCAGGGTGGAAAAAGAATAATGGATACTTGACACGGTTAGACACAGAACAGAAAGGTAATGTGCACCAGTGGAGTGGCAGCACGTAGCATCCGGTTATGGAGCGGGAATCCTCTGTTTTGGACATTCCGTTCCGGCTGAGTTTTGAGCCTTCCGTCCTCTCTCCTAAAAAGAGTTTCCCAGGCTCATGTCCTCCTTTCAGAACCATTCAGGGTTTCTGTTGCCAGGGGAGAGGGCACAGGAAGGAAGCATGCCATCTTTGGGCTGATTTTTTTTTTGTTTCTTGTTTCATTTTTTGTCAGAGTAAAAAATATATAAATCTAGTTATAAAATAGTTTACCTTATTTATTTATATATATATATATATATTTACATTTCTTTATCCCACTATTTGTCCACCAGTAGGTGATAAAGTGTTTGCAGATTTAGATTCCATTTTTTCTTTTCTAATCACTACACCAGTGGTCTGTTTTAATTTTTTACCAAATATAAAGACAGATAAATACAAATTACAAACACATTTTTTTTCTCTGTAAAACTATTTAAATATAAAGGTAAATATAAAGCTACATATGAGACATTTTTTTAAACCCTAATCAAATCAAGTAGAGAAAACCATGGGATATCAAATAGGAAAAAAAGTTATCAGAATTAGAGCTTTGCAGCACCTTATTTAGGTAATCTGATTGCTTCAAATCTTTATGACATCAACAGCATTGAAGGGGCTGCACGATGCAGCAGGTGGTAGCTCTGTTACCTTGCAGAAACAGCTTCCTGGCTTCGATTTTTTTTTCTCACACTGTCCCAAAACAAAACTGTTATGTCTAATTACCCTTAGGTGTGAGTATGTGTTGGTGCTTGGTTATTTATAATGTTATAGACCTGGGAAATGTTCAGTTGTGCCCCCCTTACTGTTGCTTTCCATAATACAATGGATCTGCCTTTGCTGGTGGAAGTTTTCATTTTCTTTTTTCATCGAACTGATGATAGGGGGAGTGTTGGCCTGGTGGTTAGAGCAGTGCACTTGTGCTATGAAAAGATTGCAAGTACCCAGTTCAATCCCCACAGCCTCCACTCTGGGTTCCTGAGCAAAAACCTTAACCCCACACTGCTCCCCGGGTGCCACACAGTGGTGGCGCACTGCTCCCAAAGGGGATGGTGCAGAAGTAAATTCCTCAAATGGGAGATCAATAAATTGAAATTATTATTATTATTATTTTTATTATTATTATTATTGTCATCATTCGGATGGATTGAATAAAAAACATGTTAAAAAGACTCATTGCTTTTTTCTATATCATTAACAGATGCTAATGTCCATGGGCGGTTCTAGACAGGGGCCAACGGAGGCCAGCGCCCCTGTAGATCATATTCTGGCCCCCGTTATGGCCCCTGTATTGAATACATAATACTCAAAGAAATTCTAATGATGATCTGCCCTGGAACAGACATGGTTACTGATAGGTCCTTTGGATCTATTTCATTTTTTTCTTTACAAATTCTGTTTTTACCAATTATTTAAAACAAGGAGGTGATAGCTTCAGTGGCCTTGAGATAGGATCCCAGTTTTTATCTGCTAAATGTTTTTTTTTCCAAAACTGTCATAATTGAAGGTGACTCTGGACGAGAGCAACTACAGAGGCTGGAGAAGGTTTAAGAGGTTTTATTGAGAAACAAGGCAGTGGACATGAACTGGAAGCAGTTTGGTCAGGTCAGGTTCTTCTGGGCTTCTGCAGAGAAGAAGAGGCTGTTGAATGAGAGGAAACTGTGCTGGAGGATTTTGGTGGGGGAGACACTCACAGTAGAGAGGCTGTGGTCCGTTCTTGGGGAGGAAGTGTCCCCGGTGGTCCGTGTGCTGACCAGTACTCTCTCCCTGGTTCGAGGGTGGACAGGCAGGTGATCGCAGGTAGGAGGGCTGAACGGTGGTTAACCCGAGATCCTTCTCGGGTTCCTGGTTGTTTCTCAGGCGGAGGGTCCAAGGTCTAAGGTTCACGGCTGGGTCCAGGGGTCAGAAACAAGGGTTCTGCAGAAAAAGGATCAAAAATGGATTTAGACTAGGGTTTAACTTTTACTAGGACTAGGCTTGGGTTTGGTCTGTTACCAACTCTGTGGCGTTAACGAACTGACGCCCTCCTCCTGGTTCCAGCTCCTTAAGAAGGGTGGTGATCACCTCAGATGTAGTGCACCTGCCCGTCCATCCCTGCAGAGGAGAGAGAGAGAAAAACTGGCCTGCACCCGGATAGAACCCGGAGTGTGACAAAAACAGATTTTAAAAAAATATATAATTTTTACAGCTGAATTTATCCGTTTTTTCTGGAGTTCTAATTCAGAATTTATATAAAAAAAAAAAAAATTAAATTAAGTCAAAAATGTGGAAAATTCCTAAATTATTAATGTCTATTGATCTAATAAGACATAGAATTTTATCTAAACCTAATTGAATAGAACCTTCACTTCATGCAGCTATCTTAATATATTTAAATCGCTAACCCTGTTTTTTTTATTTCATGCTTTTCTGGGCCCCCATGAAAACAACGTTGGCCCCCTCCTGGCCCCATGGTACATTTGGTCTAGAACCGCCACTGCTAATGTCATTATAGAAACATCCATCCATCCATCCATCCATTATCTTACACGCTTGTCCCAATTGGGGTCGCGAGGGGTATTATAGAAACATGATTAAATGTTATTTATGATTGTATTTTCCATTTACCTGATCTGAGAAAAAAATAAAATAAAATTTTGCCTCTATTTACAAAAACAGCAACAACCACAAATAATCAACAAAACGTAAAAAAAAGTCAGAGGCGTTTTTCACATGTCTAGGATTTTCTGCTGACAATTGTGCCTACAATAGTTCATTGTTATAGCTGAATGTATTGTGCATTATTAAATGAGATATATGGTGTTTTATTGAAGCAATGGGGGAATCAATGCATAAGGAAAAGAGGGGAAACTTTTCCTTAAAAAACATAATTTAGTTGTTCGCTTAAAAAAATGGACCCATGAAGCCTTATGGAGAGGTGGGCCCGATTATCATCTGTCCAGGGGAATATTGATTGGAGCATAATAGCTATGGGACCCGGAGCTGTGGTGGATTTCCCTTTAAGTCGGTCGGGGACAGCAGCAACAGCAGCTGGGAGTCGTAGTGAACTGCGGAGCTGGGAAATAGAGGAGGCGATACAGAGAGAGAGAGAGAGAGAAGGAGAATCAGAGGGAGCAGAGCTACCGATAGCATTTCTTATTCTCAGAAAGCAGAGACCGGTTGTCCTCCCATCTTCGGACATGTGCTGCACCCGGCAGAAGCAGCAGTAGCGTCGGGGCGGTGTAGCCTATACGTCATTTTTTTCAGCCGCTTTCGCCTTTTTCCTTATTTCCTCCATCCTTGTGTTCTTTTGTAATGAGCTTGTTAGGAGCATACAAGAAAAAGACCAGTTACGATGGCTATGAATGTTTGCAGCTGGTCGATAGCGGCGGAGACAGCTTCGGCTTCGGCAGGGGGAGCGGAGGAGGCGGCGGCGGCTCGTTGGGAGGCTCCATCGTGGCTACGCTCGGACCAAAGGCGGGCCCGCTGAGGGAGGAAGACTGCAGCACCATGGACAGCTCAGGTAGGAGCGCTCAGCGGCCCCCCGGCTAGACATGGCGAGGGTGCTGAGAAAGAGAGGACTAGAGTAAAAGATGTGATGACTTTACAGAGTGTTACTGCGGCCTGTCCCGGTGTGGAGGCAGCATGGAAGGTTATCAGCATCATGGCTAACCCTGAAAGCACACACTGAGCCCAAATGTAGGCTGTCTGTCTAAATGGTACTTCTAATGCTGTGTTTACCACATTTAAACTGACCATTAACACATTTAGTCTTTAATTGTATTTAAGGGGTGTATAATATTAAGGTAATGTATTTTTATATTGCAAATTTCATTTTACAGAACCATTTAAAGTGCTCTAGGTAAAAAAAAAGTTAAAAACAAGCAAATAAACAAGAAGAGAAAAAGACCAATACAAGTAAAACAAAGAAAACTCTCTTACTTACCAAGATAAGAAGCAATGTTACTGTCAATACCAAGAATTAGATATCAGAATATTTATTTAGGATGAAAGTCATTAGAAGGCATCAATCATTTCTTAGCAAAACAAATTAAATTATCCTTTCTTATGCAGAATTTAAATTTAAATGTTAAGTAAAGTCAAAGATAAACGATAGTCATAAACCTCTAAAAAGTATCTTACAATATGAGGGTCATGTATTTAGAACAGGGGCATAATTAGGTGAGATGGTTGGGGAAGCAGGTGCTGAATTGATTGTTGTGTCAAATAAAAAGGAGGGATTTTTGCCTCACTGATATGCAGAATTTTCATGTTCCTTGCTCTTTTTTTTAAATTAATGTTTTTTTTTAATGGAAAACATATTTGATAGGTACATTTTGGTTAATCTGAATAAAAAGAAAAGCAATTCAGTTTAAGTTTTGTTGGCATTCTCATATCAAAGCTGATACAGAAAAAAACAAATTCTTCTGCAGATTGATTGCTGCAGTTTTACTATAAAGGTGATGATCGTCATGATCAGATGGGGCATTTCAGTTAAAGGGCTTCAGAAGGAATTTAGAAATGAAGAGGGCAATTTTCAATTAGTTTCAATATTCATTAATTTCATTGAACTTCTTTTTTCCTAGCTAGACAACTGCAAAATAAAACTGAAATTATGTTATATTATGCTTTTGGTGTGCCACTTGAAGATTACAAATAATGCCTCCCATCTACCCATCTCTTTATTTATATCCCATAAAAAAATGTATAACTTGTACTTGTTGTCTTCCGCTTTATCTGGGGCCGGGTCGCAGGGGGAGCAGCTACAGCAGAGGCTCATTGACTTCCCTCTCAGCAGACACCTCCTCCAGCTCCTCTTTAGCCCAAGAAATCCCAAGGCAGCCAAGAGACATACTGTAGTCCCTTCATTGTGTGCTGGGTCATCTGCTAGGCCTCCTCTCTGTGGGACATTCCTGGAACAACCCCTGGGGGAGGTGTACAGGGGGCATCCAAAGAAAGATATCTGAGCCACCTCAGCTGGGTCCCTCTTGATGTGGAGGAGAAGTGACTCCACTCTGACACCTCTCCTGAATGACTGAGCTCCTCACCCTACCTCAGAGGGAGACCCCAACCACTCTGCAGAGCAAGCTAGTTTCAGCCGCTTGTATCCCGGATCTCGCTCTTTCGGTCATGATCCAGATTTCATGATCATAGATGAGGGTAGGAACGTAGACCGAGCGGTAAATCTAGAGCTACGCCTTTTTCACAGCATTATCGCAGCAGTCGCACCGACACGTCTATTGACCTCCTGCTCCATTCTCACCTCACTTGTAAACTAGGCCCATCAATACTTAAATCCTCCTGTCTGATGGGGAAAGGCCACAGTTTTCCTTTTGAGAACCTTTGCCTTTGGACTTGGAGGGGCTGATTCTCATTCTATGCCGCTTTACAATCGGCTAAGGGCTACTCCAGTGCATGATGTAGGTGTTGGCAAGAGGAAGCCAAAATGAATAACAAGGTTAAATAATTTACAACAGCAATTACTAAAAAATGCACATCATAATGAACTGGCCAATGCTTCTCTGCCTATGGCCTTCAGCCAATAACCCTAACAAATGGCTGCAAGCTGTAACACCTTCTGATAATACATTTATTATTTCTGGGGATTTCAAGGGTTGCTTAGGTTTCACCAGATCTTTGTCACTTTGGACAATTGTGTCAAAAACTAACAGATCTTATTTTTATCAACCCAGATAATACCTAGAGGATTTCCTCTGCTTAAACTAAAAGGATAAATAACTGGAAATAAAAACTATGGAGGCATTGTTTATACACATTTTCAAGAGGAGATTTCCTCAACTTGTATATGAAAACACTTTTCCCTTTTCATCTTTTGTTGCTTTTTTATCATTGTGAACTAAACGGATAAAAATCTAAAATAGTACTAGAGAAACTCTTCCTGATGTCAAAATTGGTTTAATAAACAATATTTTGAGGCTTAAAAGAGTAAGAACCATTGAAAAAGCATTTGGTTTTGCATCTAGTTAAAAATCTCTGCAGTGCTGTGTGCAGCCATCCTGCCCCCAGGGATAAATGTTTATGTGAAACAAGAAGCTGGAAGATGAAGGTGGGAGGGTCAGTGTGGAGAGGGGAGTGGGGGCAGGGAAGAGGCAAAGGGGTTCCCTCAGATGTGTCAGATGTGTTTTAGGCCTGGCAGGCCTCACCCACTTGCTCACACGTGGTCTTTTTGATGTTTGTGTGTATGTGAGTTTACGTATCCATCTACCCCACTTTCACACAGCCGGATACTGAAGGCTAAATGTTGGCTCTCTGGAAGGAGAGAGGCACGTTCAAACAAGCCATTGATCTCTCTGGCAAAGCCAAGAACTCTCAATGGTGTCCGGTTCCCTCTCTTTCTGAGTGGAGTTTTTTTTGTGTGTTCTGTTTCAGTTTTACCTGATTGAGACATTAACAGAGCCGTCATTAGCAGTCATCATCACTAAATGGTTCAGCGGTCTGCACACTCCCACATCCATCTGGACACACAGGAGGAAAAAAGGAACCAGCTAACAGAATAACAAGGAACAGACAGATTCAAACAGACATGTTAGAAGACAATAGATCATAGTACGGTTGCTACACGCTGCTGATAAAAGCAGTTTATATCATACTAAGGTATGGAAGCAACTGGCTGTAGCAGCAATAGTCTTCCAGATAAAATTTTTAGTTTTTCAACAGTTTAAAAGGGATTTGGTAGCTTGAAAAGTAATTCCTACTATTTGAACACTATATATCTAATTTTTTTAACTTTACAATGTCCACTTGATGTTTTTCTGGTGTGTGTGTGAAAAAAGTGGGAGTTGAGCATAAGAGAGTTTGTTAAGTCTGAACAGTGTGGCACACATTTTTATTCAAGGCTTCCTTTGTAAAACAACCTTTAGTCCTGTTACAACACTAATTGTTTAGGTTTTTATTTTGAGGTTTGTTCTGCTAGAGACAAGACACCAACCCATTTATCTTCAGTTGAAGCCTTGGCTTTAAATTAGGAGCGTGGGTCTGAACTTCAGCCCTCAGAATCTACTGTTCTGCAGATTTTAAGTGCATCTATGCTTCAAAAGTGAACCACATCCATGTTTAAGCTGAATCTAGTATGTTTATTAAATGGCTGCTAATGTGCCATCAATATGATTACGGTGTGTTGGAGCTGGGATGTGTCTAAAAGCTGTAGGAAAGTAGCTCTCCTTCCGGCTGAAAGGTGAAGTCAAGCTTCAATTTTAGTTTTTTTTTGTAGCTTTCAACTCCTTTCCTTGCAGAACTGTCCTGTATTTAGCTCCTTTTATCTTCTCGTTTAATGACCATCTTTCCTACATGCCTCATTCCCCCAGCATGAAGCATGTAGGCCAACATTTAAAATTCTGGTCCTATCTAGCCAGAGCACCAAGTTCATTATGTGACCCACATGGCTTGTTGCAAACTGAAAACAGGACTTTAGAACAAAATGTTTCTACTTTTCTATAAATGTTGGATTTGTGGAGTGCTTGGCCAGCTGTTGTTCTGTATATATAACTATGATCTCTACAGCTCCTCTACAGGAACCATGGACCACTTATTAATTTGTATATTTCCAACTGGTTTGTTAAGGTGAATGGCCTAATCTGGCTTGATTTGTATTTGCGCCCCCTAAGCCTTTTGAAGATATCATTTTTAACAGGGCTGTGTGAGTTGTAAAATATTTGAAATATAATGTATAATCTAATCCTGCTTCATACTTTACCATGAGTTAAGGCTGGTTTATGCTTGATGCATCTATGTTCCGTGTGGAAAGAGACACATGGAATGTTGCTAACACATTTGTACTCCCTGCAGTTATAATCAGTATTCTGGAAGACTCTAGGGGGCAGTGTGGGGCACAGACGGGAAGCTTACAACTCCACTCTGCTTGAAGTTAACACCTCCATGTTATCTGAGTGACAGTAATTTATTTCCAAGAGGCGTTCACAATCTGTGATTGTGGTTATATTCAAAAGTCAAATCATATGATGTCTATAGATGTTTATATGTTTGACTAACCAATATTAGCTGTTCTCTGTCTACTAGTATGTTCAGAAAGCCCAGTAGAAAGACACTGAAGTAGAGTATATAATCCTGCAGCCATGTTTCAGTAAAATACATAATACTTGCCCATTATGATTGATGGAAGATATGCCTTAAATTTCCACCTCCTCTCTCTTGCATCTTCAGCACCTGCTTTTCAACTCCACGGGGTTGAGTCTTTTGAGCTTTGAATAAGCTGGTTCAATGTGTGAAAAAACAACTTGAGTTTAGGTTTTACTTTATTGAACATAGTATAATGAAATAATGAACAATGCTATATTCTTAAAAAAAGAGAAAGAAATAGCTTTAAAACAAAATTAAGCAAAAGAAGTACAACAGTCACTTATATTTAGTAGTTTACTATTCATGATAGCTTATTAATAACATTTCTCCTTGTATTTTATTTTTTTTTTTACATTTTATTCAGAATATCAAGTCATTATTTTTCTTTATACACCATAACGATTGTCAAAAAAGGAAAAGATATTG